CCGGCTTCCGACAAAATGCATGCTCCAGAGTCAATAGCCATAGGTAGTCAGAACAGTTAAAATTACAAGCCTATCACGACTCCTTATCATTATTTGATGGTAATATGGATTAGATATACACAAATGATAGCTACGCACTTGCCTAATGCGGCTTGAAGCATATAATGCACCAAATTAAGTCGACTAGATGACAGAAAAAACTCCAAAGAGAAAAAGTGAAGAAAAGGCATGCAATTTGTCATTTGATGTCTAATATTATTGCTAAGTGAGATGTCAAGGGCTAATTTATAATTTGGCAGTCATTTTTGGTATATCAAATAGGCGGAGGGGCCTTATGGTCGAGACTTTATCTCTGAGAAAGGAAAATTATAAATATGATAATGTATTAACATCTTCTACAAGGGCTAAGAATTCACATCGTAGAATATTAAATGGATATGAGTCGCTAGTGGACTTATAAAAGAGATTTTATTCTCAATTAAAATGACTAGCAATCTGACCTCAAGTATAAACCCCCTTTTAAGTAGTGTTGGGTATGAAGAATAAGTAAATAATGTGTTAATCAACCACAAGTTTCTAAGGCACCGAAATACCACTGATATAAACTATTTACTTCCAAATATCCCATTGATGGGTATAAATTTTCAACACGATTAATGATCCTGTATCTTTAAAATGTCAATAGTCTCCTCCTCTATGGATAGTGAAGGCCAGAGGGCTGTCTAAACACCCAGATAAAGGCATGAGTAACAAACTAATAATGAAAGAATGATGCAGTTGGACAGGATATGGGAATGCAGATACTCCCACCACAAATGGCCACATAAACTAAAGATTAGATTTTAATAGAGGCTTTGGTCAGCGCAGTCGTTTTGTTGTTCCAATGCCCGATAAGTGAGGCTACTATCATGCTTTCGTCCATTGCAGGGACCGATACCAAGATTCGACAAAGGCAAATCATTCAGCCTTTATGTCCTGAAGCTAAGTATAAATGTTGGGCATCTATAGCCGATCATAAGCCAAGTCAAAAAATTTCGGGCCTATATAAATAAGCGGCAAGTGTACTCACCCATACCTCGCAAGATAGGCATACAAAAGTGCACAAATACGCATACAATTATGTTTTCACATATGAACTTGTACACCACAATGCATACTCATGTAAAAACATAAACACATGAATTCATGCAACGAACATGCAGATATATATTCAAATAAACTCACGATGCACCATGCCGATGAGCACAAGAGTAAGAGTATTTTTTCAGCGTTTGTAAAATTGTGCACCAAAGGAATTTCTAAGAGGAAGCTGTCTACTAGTCATCTTCGCTGCTTCAAAGGAGGCAGAGCCAGCGTCTGGCTGACGGCGATTGTGCCGGATTTGGACAAGAGGTCGTGGTAAGCGAAAGCAGGTTCATGCTTGACGTGGACAGAACAGGTAATTAGTCAAAGGGTTCCGCCAACTAAAGCACGTACAGAGATGAGGAGCAAGCATGCAACCAACAAACCGTTAACTAATCCGACCCAGGCATGAGTCGAGGACTCATCAGTTGGCTAAGAGCTGTTGACATGATAGCTAATGGACTTGATAAAGCAAACAATCTCTCACTAGTACATTAGAGATAAACTCCAGTGATGCATCACTTCATGCCTGTCAGTTTGTATCCAAAGCTAACCGTATAAAGCAAGGTGAAAGTGACTGGCTGTATGCTTGTGGCAGGAATGACGGAAGCAAAATCGACGAATAGCAAGGTGAATAGTGGGCTAGGTCTCCTCATCAAGTGTAGCGATGAAGGCCGAAATGACACTCAAAAGTTGAGGACGATGAATAGGGTAGTGTATGGCAGAGTGGAGTAGAGAGAGGCTGGGCCAAACTGGGCAAGGTAGAGTATGGTCGGGCCGGGCAGAGGAGAGCAGAACAAGGAAGAGTAGAGCCATCAGAAGAGGCGAAAAGAGAGAGAAGAGTGCACGAAAACCCAAATTTCTTGTCGACCTGACTGAAGTGGAACACCCTGGCGGGCAGAACTCCAACTGCCCTGGTCTTGTGGATGCAAAGCCAGATGACACGAGGCATGCGTGCGCAAGCAGACCAGGCAATACTTGTTAGTTCTGGCAAGTCAGTCATAGCAAAGTCCAGGTGTGAGAGGAGCTAAGCGAGAGGAATAAGCGAGCACGTGAGTGCTTTTGAAGCAAAAGGGGAGTAACTTAGTAAGCTGATAAGACTAATGTCGCATCTAGAATGCG